GCCATGAGCTCATCCTTTGGAGTACCAACACCATTACAATACATGTAGCCTTCGCATGAAAGCGCTTTGCTTGAACCTTCCTTGGCTGATTTTGAAAATATCTGAAATGCTTTTTCTAAATTCCTATTTACACCTTTTCCGTTTAAATACATGAGACCAAGAGAGATAAGACCAACTTCATGATTGCACCTTCTAAACGATCCCAGAGAATCAAGTGAATAGGGCTTTTCAATGCTGAAATCTACTTCATCGCTGGCGGCTTGTGCGCACAGTTCAAAGGCTAATTTCAGATCAACCTTTGTTCCAATCCCGTATCGGTAGAAAAATCCTATGAGACTAGTAAAGCAAGATTTGTGTTTGTGTTGAAGTAATTGATGAAAAATTTTACAGGGATTTCTATTGAATTTCTTTATATAGTTCCTAATGAAATGTGCCACGTGTTCCGTGTTAAGTTGTTTGTTGAAATCCTCAATATAAACCTTGAATAGGTTTTTTATAAAGTAATCGAATTCTGTGACTATTTCGAACTGATTAGAATCTGAAGTGGTCCTCGTTTCTCTTAACGAATTATGATTATTTGTCATGCAATTTGCCATCTTGTCACACAGAATAATTTCAATATAGTCATGACTCGTGTCGTTTAAATCGATTTCATCAAGTTCTTCGACTATTCGACCAATGCTTGGACGCAGTAGTTCATCATTATGGAGACAATCTAAAGAAAGATGCACACAACACACGGTTATCCTACTGATGGTAATTTTAAGGTGACAGATAATATGAAGGCTCTGTACCTGTACATATCTTCACGTACTGTTGTGGGATAGTTGAGACCAGATCCTTGAAATCCAGAAATTTGATATTCCTCAGCGATTCGGTCGAACATGTCACAACCCCACCTGAAATCTCCCAAAGGATCATTCCAAAGCTGTGGATGTCTAAGCTTTTTTTTAAAACGACAGAATCCAATGCTTCCAGAGCTTGAATATCTCGATACGGAACTTTCTTGTTGAATTTCATTATAAATTTGGCTGATATAATTTGTCTCTTGATAGCTCCTAGACAATTTAACTTAATCTTGCCTTTATGAACCATAATATTTTTAGAATTCTGTTATGATATTTGGAGTTTATAGTAAATAAACATATCCTTGATGCGACAACAATATCAAGCATAGACACGGTACGCTAAAATACATACTAAATTTCCATGAACAATGTTGTTCGAATGCAAATGCATTAAAGCACCTGCAACTTGTTTCGCAAGGTCCAATTTGATATCCCAATCCAAATATTTATGGTTGTTCTTCAAGTATTCACAAAGTGATCCATCTTCACAATACTCGAAAACTATTATTGATGTATTGGGAGTTTGTTCTACTAAGGTAATCCGTGATGATCAGTAATATGTTGATATATCTCACATGGATTATGATGAAATACCTGGTTTGCGAATGTCCAATAATTTTAAGAAATTGTCATGATGTTCCAGTTTCTGATGTTCTTTTACCTAGTAAGTTGTCATCAATCGTAATTATTCGCTGCAAGTCAATGACTATTCGAAGCAAGATATACCACTTATGCGATCATAGGAGAGCTTACAGAATCCAAAAGATCCACTAGATTAAATTCTTCGTTTAAGCTAACTTGCTT